GAGAGAGAGAGAGAGAGAGAGAGAGAGAGAGAGAGAGGAGGAGGAGGAGGGGAGCTAGAGATGGAGGTTCAGGTCCTGGCAGTGCTCGGGTTGTAGTTTGTCCTGTTTATGGAATATGTAGAAGGAACCCAGAAGCAGGGAATGTGGAGGTCAGCAATTGTGGAAGTCGTGGGTTTAATTGGATTGGGGTTGGTGAGGAGAGGGCGAGGGGGAAGCTGCCAGCTAAGAAATGACTATCCCGGGCAATATCTCAGACGAATCGTTGGCCAGTTCGCTTCAAACCACGAGTCTGTTTTCCCAGCTATCTTGCTCCAACGTGGTGGTTAACACGTAGCAAAAACCGCGGATCAGTCCTACCAGATAGAAATGGCTGGTGGCGCTTGGCAATTTCAGAGTTGGGTGGCGGGTCGGATTTTTTGGGTCAGGTAAGGTAGCAAGCTCATCATTGAAGGGGTGCTCATCGTTGAAGGGTCCCGGATGGGACCGGTGCTTTAAGGAGATGTTCGGAGCCCATCCGGAGATTTGGGATTCGATTGGTTACGCCCTACCGTCTTCACCCAAATAGAACGCCCAGTCATTATCGCTGCATCTGGACTGAAAGTTGGGCCAAATGCAGCTATAATGACAGGGCATTCTATTCGGGTGAAGACGGTAGTTGAGTGGACAGCAGTACTGAGGGGCAGGAAATTTTGCCTGCGGATAGCAGCGGCGCAGTGCAAGCTCAATGCTGGGTTGTGTCGAGTGGAGAACATGGGCATGCGCATTGTCACTGGTACGTCACAGGTGATTCTCGCGACGAGCAGGGAAATGATAATCGAGGCATCCAGAGCTACAGTGCTAGCTCATTCTGTGTCTGATCATCTTATGGGGGGATATCTGATTCATTACAACTGCATGTGAGGATAGTAGATGGGTAAAAAAAAAAAAAGGGAAAATTGCATCTGTACCCCACTTAAAGATGGGAATACCCACTATACCCAGTCGAGCGTCCAACTTGCATCTATGCCCAGACCCTGTCCAACTTAAGGTAATACCCTACTTTTCCTCTGTGCCAACTTATCGCCCTTGGTTGGGGAGCACAAAGTTATGCTTATGCCAAGGAACGGGGCAGGCAAAATCGGGCATGCACATTATTTGCCCGGGTATATTTTATAATTAGCATTCCGTTGGTTGGATATAACTGCAATTTGGATGTACCAACCTTCGCTCTCCTCCGTCCTGGGCATACAAATATTTTGCACAGACAATTTTCCGGGTACTGATGCAAGTTGGACAGCGGGGCTGGGTATAGCGGGTATTCCCATCTTTAAATGCGGTACAGATGCAATTCCCTCCCCCCCCTTCCCCCCCAAAAAAAGGGGATAGTATTTTATTTGTGGTGCTTTTAGTGTTGCCTCCGTTGCCAATCATCATCCGCAAATCCCTTCTTTTTTGCCGCTGTCCGCCTGTCCCCGCATTTTTTTTGCTACCCATTTGACTTCTCTACTCTGTACTGGGGTGGCACTTGTATGGCTTTTTTTTCTCTCCCATCTTTTTTTTGTTGATACGAATTTTTCAACTACCGTTTCCTCATTTGCCTGTTATCGCAGCTGAGTGCAAGGAACCTGACTGTTCACAGCTTGCTCGAGTGCATCAAACCGCATGCATACAGGTCATCACACGTACAAAGTGGCCTCACACAAAACCAGGTTGAGATGAGATAAGAACCAAGTAGCGCAGCTTATATTATCAATGTCACCTAATACAAAGAGTATCATGAGTTCCAGAGTTCAGCGCCAACAAGAGGTAAGTCTCCCTCGTCATACAACAGCGTGGAACCTAGCTCAGCCAGCGTTCTCCTTCAGATCACAAGTGTGGCGCCAACAGGTAAGTGTCCACCATATCCAGACTCACTCCCTGTCTTCTCTCTCTTCCTCTCTTCTCTCTCAATAACCTTGTCTTGGTTCTCTTCCCTTCACTATGCATGCACACTCTCACCTACGAAGATCTACTCTGAATGTCACTCATTGATATCCCACTACTGACTAGCCCTACTTCTACTAACATAGGCTGGCGCAGCTATGGCTTCCCTGCAGCCAGCGCCCAGCTCATTTCCTCCCTGGCGCAGCTTCTTCTTCAGCGCACAACTCTCTGCACTATAGCGCACAAGTGCCTCAGCACTTCCACGCATCAATGCCAATGGGAATCTCCCCGTGGGGGAGGCTGCCTCGTTTCTTATAGTGCTGGCCTCCCCTGGCGAGGTCTGAATTCTGCCTGTCCTGGKCCTTTCCCAGTCCCGGCCTCTGTGTATGTGTCCCAGATCCCTTTCCTTCAGGGGTTGCTGCTGCTGCCGCATTTAGGCCATGATTTCGGACTCCCAATCTGAATCTAGACTTTCTTTCTGCCTCGAATCCGGATTGGAACTTAACTCTTTGACTTCTGCCGGACAGACACACCCAATACCCGAACAGACACTCTTTCTGCACGAACAGACACATTGACTGCACGTACAGACACATCTCTTGTTTGAATAGACATGACTTGCATTGCCCCTGGCGAACAGATGTGACCTCCAAATCTGAACATGGTGACTGTTCGTCCAGGGCCCAACCATGACCTTTGACATTGTCTCTACTTTAGCCAGGATGTGACCTTTGACCCAGAGAACATGTCTTTTGATTTGCTTTCACGAATTGGGCTCTGGGCGAGAGACCCCAACAGGCTGCTTTCGTCGAACAGGGTCTGAATCGGGTAAAGGCCCTTATATGAGTATTCATTTCACATTCGCGAATGTCTCTCCTGTTTCTTTTCTTTTCTTTTCTTTTCTTTTCTTTTCTTTTCTTTTCTTTTCCCTTGAATAATTTGCATTATGTTTCTGAGAATTGGTGCTGTTTTTGTTTTCCATCGCAGTTGGTTGATGGGCTAGGAGGTAGTGGTTTGGCAATGCCCGTGGAGGTCGTACAGTTCTGCTGGAAGTACAATTCATACAGGCTCCAGAATCTTCCTGAGATTGCAGGCTGTGAGGTAACTCCTCAATTCATCTTGGCGGACAGTTTTAGGAACCTTTTACTTTTTTTTTTTTGTCTTTTTAAAGATGGACCATTTCTCGATTTATGCGTGTCATCCTTGCGCAGGGGCCATGCTGATCTTCTCTGTATCGTTCCAATTTTAACGGATGTCCCGAAGGACTATTCGATCCGGGGCGGTGCTTTTATCACCCCAGCACCAGAGGGACTTCACCGGAGGTTCCGGAGGTTCTCTCACAAAGAAAAAGAAAAAGAAAAAAACGGATGTGACGTATTGCTGAAGTGGAGCCAAACTGTGTCTCGTACAATGTGAAAAAATGCAAGAGCCAAAAAAAAAAAAAAAAAGTTTTGCCTTTCAGATAAGTGAGAGTGCGGCTGAGCTCTTGCTTGCTACTGGATACATTAATGAATGAAGCTCGTTGCTGTTGTCAATCTCTTTTTTTTTTCGCCCCTCGTTTTGTTTTGGAAAAGTCGATAGCCACCAACATTGTTGCACACGACAGGATTTCATCTCCGATTTTTTTGGCCTCTTATTTATCTAACTAGGCCTTCTGTTCCAGGTATGTACCCATTGAGCCAGATGCCTGATAGAGAAAAGGAGGCCAATTAGACTGATTAGTACGATCACCAAATTTGCGATCATTATCGACGTCTCTGGAGTTCTACACCATCCGTCGATCAGCTCACTTCTTTGGAGGCAACTTACATGATTCCTCTTGGACTGTGCACCTAGGCGACCAGAGTGGCCCAGGGTCACTTGCCCGGTCGGGCCAAAACAAAAACAAATATATATATAGAATTTAATTTTTATTCTAAATTTGGTGAAGAAAAGTTAAAAAAAAAAAAAAGTTTATTTTTAAAATTTATTTTTTATTCTAAATTTGGTGAATAATTTCGATGTCACCCTGAGGCAAAAGTTGTTCAGTTTATTTTTCTGCATAACATAGTTTGTTTTTTTCGGATTTTTTGGAATTGTTTTTTTTTTTTTTTTTTAGCTGGAACCTTCCCCGGTCCTTGCACGGGCTGGCCACCCGGGACCCGGGTGGCCCGGCTGGTAGCCTAGCTGTGCACTTCTTTTTCAAACCTTTTTTTTGACTTTTTCTCCCCTAGCGCTCCCCCCCCCCCAACCCCCCAACCCCACTGAACTTACACCCGGTGTGTGATCGTTGGGAATCTCTTTTTTTTCTTTTTTTCTGTTTTTGTCTGAAGTCTCTTGACAATGAAAGCCTCCAACAACCAGTACAACAACAGAGTAGTAGCCCCACCTACTCTACCCACCTACTCTACCCTCCTACTCAGCCTGCACACTCTACACTACTACTTCTCACTCTCTCTCCGCTCTCGTCTTGCTAGATGATGCAGAAGAGTCTGATCGCATAGGTGCCCCTCGGCCACCTGGGAATCTCACAGTGCAAAACTTTGCACTCGTAAAGAGACAATGCCTTGTGGTTGCATGCAAAAGTCAAATGAAAGGGATTGGAAAGCGCAATAAACGAGAGGAGGAGAAGAACGAAGAATGGATGATGATGATGATGATGATGATGAACACAAAGCTGGAACCAATGTCGCTGCTTCCTCATATCTCTCCGCCATCATCTCCGCCAACATCTCCACCAACATCTCCACCAACATCTCCACCAACATCTCCACCAACATCTACCACCAACATCTACACCAACATCTGATTAATAATAATAGTGAACGATAACAATGAATGAATGAGCCTCCCAAGAATCAAATGTCCGAATTCTCTTCATTACTGCCAGCATCACAAGAAGTCCACATTAAACCGTCAGTACACGGCCCCATTCTCGTGGAGGAATCTTCCATCGCCTACAAAACATTTTCGGTGGCTAGGGGCTGCTACCGGACCACCATGGCTGGCGGCGCGAGCTGAAAAAGGAAAGAAGTGCACCGCTGGCGGTTGGGGAAAGCTTGGCGCACAGTGGAAGGCCGCCATGCCCGGGTGGACTGGTGGTTGAAGCCGCCTCCTACACCTCCCACTTCTATTTGGTTGAGCATCCGGCTATGGTGGCTGATGCAGACCTACCCCGGATGTCCAAAGGACAACGCAAAGCTCTTGTGGTGCCTCCTACTTCCACCACCAAGCCGACCTCACCATCCGCAGCCCTCCATACATCCGATCCCCCTTCAGGGGCCTTCTAAGTGCAGTGCCAACCACGAAGATGAAGATCCAGTCCACCATAGCCAAGGTAAGCCTTCTCATTCATATATATATATTTGTGTGTGTGTGT